TTTAGATTTAAAGAGAAAACTTGTTATAAGTCTGATTTTTTTTCCTCTCTATGCATGTTTTGTGACTATATATGTATAACTATATATGCATCACTCTGTCACAATTTTCTTGTGTTTCTCAGGGCCTAATGCCATTCAACACCTGTTCCTGTCATGCTGTTAACACAAGTGTCCAGCCAACTACAGATACCACTAAAAGATCAAAGGGCTGCCAGCACAATTATGCAATTAATCTTTTTGCTAGACAGGACACCTGAAGAACAAAAGAAAATGTTATATATGACTCATATATACATATCCATAAGACAAAGTCATTTGCACTGATCAACTACTTTTCTGTTTTTGAGGGACACATTTCACACACAATAGCATTTCACTATAAAGGATATTCAAATGCTTCCCAAACCATCTTTGAGTAGATTTTCCTTTGTCCACTTGTTTGTATGCATGTAGTTTTTTTTTTGTTGTTTTTTTCCCCCAGTGACCAGTGGAATTAAAGTTAATTTAGATAATGCTTCTTCTAACCCTGATTCCCCAGATAGGTATCTGCAGGCATTATGAGATAGTGGTGAGATTATAAAATATGTCTAAACAGACAGCAGACCATAAAGTGATGATACAGTCTCTGGTACTTAAATGGTGTTCTGCTGCCCCCAAATGGCAAACAAATTAAAAATAAAGTCCTAACAAATCTGCAATGTGGCTTTTCCCCAGCCATGATTTCAATTACTGCTAATCAGTGTTAACCTGTGTAAAGTTTAGCTGGACTTGAGTCACACAATAGCCTGCAAAGTAAAAACAACAGTAGTGTGGAGTGATAGAATGCAGCAGATGAGTCAAACTGAGTCTCCTTCACATTGGAACTTTCTTCTATGTAAAACTGTAACTTTAAGTTTTTGGTAAATGATTGTTATCAAGCTGAGAAGGAAAAAGTAAACGTTACCCAACCGTCCATCCATTTTCTACTGCTTGGGGGGTTGGGCCGTGGTGGCAGCACCCTAAGTGGAGCCCAGAACTCCCTCTCCTCAGCCACTTCCTCCAGCTCATCCGGGTGAGCCTGCTCATCTGCCCAACCCTGTACTGAGGCCTTTGTTAATGTGTTTGAAGAAAATTGATTGTTCTCTTCTCAGAGTGTCCCCTTTATATTACTTGTAGTATCTTTTTTGGATGAGCATGTGATGCTTTTTTCTTTGTGTTTCTGCAGCTCTTTTCCATCTTCGCATTTGCAACATGTGGCGGTTATACTGGGCAGCTGCAGGTTAGCGTGGACTGCATGGAGAAGGCCAGCAGCAACCTCAGCATTGGCATTGACTTTGGTTATCCTTTCAGGTGATTGGCCTTCATGTGTCTGACAGCCTGCTGACATTTTGGGATCTAAGAGCTTTATATGAAATGTATGAACTGCTGACAGTGAAAGTTAATTGTTCATTGCTTTTGTACTTGACCCGTGCATGCGTGCGTGTGTGCACCAGGTTGCACCAGGTGTCCTTTGAAGCACCCATGTGTGAAGCCATGAGGAGGGAGCGTGTTTTCCTGACCGGAGACTATTCATCCTCTGCTGAGTTCTTTGTCACCATTGCAGTCTTCGCCTTCCTTTATTCCCTCACGGCTGCCATTATCTACATCTTCTTTTTAAACAAGTACCACGAAAACAGCCGAGCACCACTCATTGTGAGTACAGTCGATGAAACACTTTCTCAGTCCTTATTAGGTAGTTTATCAAGAGTACGTTATGCACATAGTCTGACCCTCTATTCTTCCAGGTTGACGTCTTCCATTGACTCACAAACTAACTATTCACTCATTTAAAGTAAGCATTTAAAGTAATGCTATAGTTTTATTGCGCTGAATTCTCATGGACATGATCGCTCTCGTTTCTTCCAGGATTTTGTAGTGACAGTAGTGTTCTCCTTCTTGTGGCTGGTCAGTTCCTCCGCTTGGGCCAAGGCCCTGTCCGATGTCAAAGTGGCCACCGATCCAGATGAGGTGCAGCTCCTCATCTCTGCCTGCAAAGACCAGACCAACAAATGTGGATCTTTGCATGGACCTCGCTGGTCTGGACTCAACACCTCAGTGGTAGGTATAAAAGATGTGGAAATGCATGAAAAGATCAACTAGAAAAGCTCAGTTTTCTGAACATGTTTAAACTGATGTGTGGAACCTGAAATAGCTGAACAGTGTGAACGACTGATGTTATGGTAGTGTATGGGAGATGTAACCAGTGAAAAAGGCAGAAATTGTGGTTCAAGCTGAATGAATATGTGGGGGCAGTTATGCCAAGATTATTTGAATGTTTTGATGTTTATTGTAAATTTGTTTCTTTCACTGTCTCTTCAGGTTTTTGGGTTTCTCAACTTTGTTCTATGGGCTGGAAACATCTGGTTTGTCTTCAAGGAGACCGGCTGGCACAAGGGTGCTTCAAGATTTGCAGCCGGGGCGTCTGAGAAGCAGGGCGGCACATTTAGCCAGCAGTCATACAACCAGGGAAGTTTTGACCAGTCAGGGAGCTACAACACCCAGGGCAATATGGGTCAGCCATCTGAGTATAGCCAGGTGGGAGGGCCCACTTCCTACCCCAGTCAAATGTAATTGTCTCTTTTCATTTTGCAAGTAGCACCTCAGCGTCTTTAAGCAGGGCAATCAGGCGTGATAGAAGAAGACGGAAGTGAAGTTTGTCTGTGCAGAATGCAAAACGGTGGTCATAAAACCAATGTCAGTGTGTCCAAGTACACTCATTGTAGATACAAGTGTTGTTGGGTAAAGTTATTAGATATAGTCTTTTACTCCTTCTCTTTCAGAGGTGTTGTTTGCTGAATGCTGTATTTCTTGTAGTCTGAAACACATTAGTAACAGTTTCTCTCTCTCTCTGTGCTCAGTAATTGACATACAATGTTTTGATTGGATGTCTTTTCCAAAGTGGTTTGCATTCTGTTGTGGAAGGAAAAAGTACTCCGTGTTTGTATACTCCAAAGTTTCCAAGTGCATGATGTTTTATGTGTTCTAATACGCTTTCTGTGAAACAAAGGGGGGTGGGGGAGACATGCATTTTATCTCTGAAAGTTTACACCCTGACTGATTACTAGACGTTCATCAGTTAAGTATTACTACAAGTGTAATTTCTTTTTAATCTAATAAGAAATATATTTTGATAATGGGAATTCACATATCAATTCAGAATAAATTCAGTGATTTGTCTGTGACACAAACGCATTCCAGCTTCATTCTAACACTGGCTACTGACGATGTCAAAAAGTCTTCAAAAACTAAGGCAATAACTTCATTCTGCAAAACATACAGGGAATGTGCAAGAAAACCAAATTGTATATGCAACCATTGCAGCATGTAGTTTCTGTTCCCTTCATTTTCATTTCTTCTGCACAGGCAGCATCACATTGGCATTTTATTTGTAAAGAGGGAGTTTGTCTCCCCTTATTGTTTGCAAGTGGCTGCTCCTGCTACAAATGCCTGGGACTGCTTCCTATGCCATCGTCAGACTGATGAGTAATTCCATATCCAAGTTCCACCTCTCTAAAGCATGACCAGAGCATCCACACACACTAATAAAGCCCAGCAAAAAAGCTATAGTGACAACAGAAGACTAGTGAATATTAGATTCATCTGTATATAACGGCTACTGAGCTTTAGTTTACTTTAAAAATCACAGTTCCTTTCTGCACCACAGAGGTGTGACTGTGTGTATGGTAAAGTCAAAATCAAAGGATAATGCGTGGTTGCTGTTTGTTTACATTAATGAGACTTGTGCAACCCTGTTCTTTGAACTTCTAAGCATGTGGCTTGCATCAGTGTAATAAAGTAGACTGAACATCCATGCACTGTATAATAATCTGGCATCCTTGATGACTGTGTACAGGTCAGGAATTCAGGAATTCATCCTAATAAAAATGTATAAATTTGTCCATAAACGACTTCTTCATCTGTTCTGATATCTTGATTTGATCTGTAACCTCTGACCCTTTTCCTTGATTTCCCAAGAACAAAGCAAGGACACACGGCTGTCTTTCTGTTTGACATAAGAAACGCAAACTGAGACACAAATGTATGTGGTGTCTCTGCGTGTAGGTTTTGGAGTGTAACAGTTCATCTTTTACCGTACCTTATTCACTTTCTGAACTACACTATAGAAAATAAAGCAAAGAGCAATAAACACATACATGGATTTCATCATACCACTCTGAAATTCCTAGAAATTGATTTCTGAATGTTTTGGTGTCTTCATAATGTTTACTTAAAAAAATGTGTATTTAAATAGTTTTATGTACAGTAATAGTAATAACAGTAATGTGTCCTCATGATTTATGTCTGTGAAGGTTCTCAGTCATCCAGGTCATCGTAGTCAAAGGAGCTTGGAAAGAAAATGTCTTCAAGCAACTTAAAGAAGTCCAGACGCTTTTCTTTCCAAGCTCCTTTGACTCCTCATGATTTAGTGTGTTTTCCTTTGTAGCACTCAGTGGCCTAAAGTCCAAATCTTAAAATCCAAATGAATACAGAATTATAACATCATAGTCTATGTCTCAGGAATTTGCGCATCAATAATAAAATGAATTGTCTCAACAGTATTTTGAAATGTAAGCCTGTGCATTTTTAAAGGTCTCTCTCTCTAAAAGGTCACTCACTCCCCTCCAAATGATGCAGGAGTTTCCACTAAGACCAGGAATATATTAAAATGAAAATTAAAACCGCAGTAGTTTGTTTGAACTCTTGCTTTTCTTCATAAGTTATACTCCTAATTCAAGATTTGCAGTATTTGTTTTCTTATTTGTGTGTCTAATATAGTCTGTGTCATCTAAAAACACACTTTACTTTGCTTTTTCTTCCCAATAAGTAATTTTAATTACATGTAAAAAAAAAAAAAAAAACAGGGCTTTTGCAGTTATCTGCGCTAACATGGCTACAAGTCAGCTGTGACTTGCTTTTCCACTGCGAGCATGTGGTGCAGAAAACATCGCGTGTGACCAGCAGAGGGAGATATCCCAACAGCTTAACGCTTGTCGCTGACACCGACGAGGAAGCCAATGTCTGGAGCTGATCAGTGAAACCTCCACCGGATCAGACCAGACATGGGCACACTGCACCACCTAAACGCGCTCATCACCGAGCGGCTCACCGCGGCGGCGGTGGAGATTTTCGGGGCTGTGGAGAAAACCTTAATAGACTACCAGGGAGAGATCAGCCGATCCAAGCAGGAGATAAATCAGCTGCGATCACTGCTCTCCTGGCCTGAAGTCAGGCTACACAGATCAGGTGTGTAAATGTAATACTCATTACTTTATGTTAAAGGCTGCAGCTGTTTCACCTCTAGACTTTTGTCGTACCATTCAGCAGATCATCTTTTGAGTGCCCGCAGTGATGAAGAGGCTCCTCCTGAGGGCTCACACGTGAGCCCAAAGCCCCAGAGCATCCTGCACATTAAAGAGGAGCATGATCAAAGGGATGCTCAGCAAGGAGCCTCCTGTAGGCAGCAGAGTGATGCCACAGTGTCACCTGAGGTTGTGACAAGAGGAGATCACGAGGATCCACCCTTGCACCTATACACTGTATTAACTGTTGAGCAGGCAGCAGCTATCAAAGCTGAGCCACACGGAGATGAGTGTTTAACATCTACCTGCGGAATAAACGTGGAGTCAGAAGTTCAACAACTTAACCCAGAAGGTGAGGAGAGGACTGAGTAAAAGCACATCCAGCAAAAGCTGGCATCAGTTATTTTGTTCTTATATCAGTCCGAGTGCTGGAATGAGAAAAATAGTGTGTTTTTCATTGCATGAGCTGGAGATGCTTCCCATAATGAGCAGGTTTGTTTACATTCATGAGCTAATACCTGTCTGAGTGACCAAATCTCAAGTGTATCACTGCAGTAAACGACAGATTTCCTTTACATTCATGTTGTGTTTCAATGTTAAACAGAAAGGTGAAAGGAAATGTCAAACGCAGCCGTCTCTCATGTTCAAATATACTGATAACCGTGGTACTAATTAGATATAAATAATTAAAAATGATGGCAAATTATTATTAATATTTTAATATAATATTTTATAATAATAATATAATATTTTTTTAGATCCACTGGAGATCACTTATTCTAAGAATCATGGGACTCAACAAGACCAGAGCCAGTATCAGCACCGCTACAACCGTCATACATCTCAGATCATAAAAGTGCAGGCGTTTACATCATCTAAACCTCAGGAAGAGGCGGACTGTGACTGTACACTACCTCATCAGCCAGTAGATGATTATAATGAGGCTCCTTCTCTAACCCTGAGCCCCAAATGCAGTCTGAGCAACAATGCACTTACTACAGAAAACAGGACAGATGTTGAAGGCTGTACACTGTCTGGAGAGTCTCAGTCTGTCCACTCTGTAGAGCCAGAGCAGCTTGTTGGTCAGAGTGAGCATACTAAAAACATAGAGGGTGTGGGGATTAAGCTGCTCAAACCATCGGGAACAAGACAACAGAAAAGACAAATCTCTGAGTTGAACTCCAAGGACGGAGACAGTATGGAAGAAGATGGAAATCATTTCATAAGGGAGAGAAGGCACACATGCCCCATTTGTGCTAAGCGTTTTAAAGAGTCGAGTCATTTGAAAGATCACGTGAGGATCCACACAGGAGAGAAGCCTTACCGCTGTAAGGAATGCGGCGTGAACTTCAGGCAGAGCGGAGCCCTGACGTTACACATGAGAATCCACACAGGAGAGCGACCTTACCAGTGCACAGAGTGCGGCAGGCGCTTCAATCGTAAAGGTGACATGGAGACTCACAGGGTGACGCACACAGGGGAGAGGCCTCATTCGTGCTTGTTTTGTGGGAAAACTTTTCAAAGGAAGAGCCAATTAAACACACATCTGAAGATCCATGAAGAGGACAGAACCGATTACACTCACCCACTGTGACTGTTCACAGGAGACAGAAGTGACATGTCTAAAACCCTTTATTTTAATTGCAACTGATGTTACAACTGTAGGACTCAAGGAAGCATGCTAGGATAAAATCATTCCATTTGCAATCCACAGTTCTCATCATCAGTGACTTCAACACTTTCACCAATGCAAATCCCTCTCCTAACAACACGTTATTTCTCTGTGTAAAACCAGGTTCTTGCCGAGCCTAGAACCATATATCTTCATTTCATTAGAGACTAACAATCTTATTAAACTGTGTCTTATCATTATCATTGTAACATTAGATGTGAGTCATATAACAATCTCTATAAGTAATATGTGCAACTTTTACGCCACAAACTGAAAGAGCTCGTGTGAGCAGATGTCTCTGAGTATCAGTGCAAATGCAAACCAGAAATTCTTTAGTGAAGACAAATTTAATGAAGAAAGCTGCTGTAACGCAAACTGTAGAGTTAAAGGAGATGAACACAATGTCTCAGTTTTAATAGGTAGTTGTCAAAACAAAACTAGCATGTACATTAAAGGGCAAGACAATAAAAAAATGAATTCATTCAGCTGGCAAACATTTTCTACTAGACAATTTTTGTGTCTCCAAAGTAAATAAATTGTCGTTTTTTTTTATATTTTCATTGTGTCTGTTTTTTAAATGAAAACATAAGCATTACATGACAACAGGGGTCTCGAACTCCAGTCTCTGAAACCATGTGTGCCTGTTGCAACACACCTGAATATAATTAGTAGGTCATTAGCAAGAGTATAGAACTTGACTGCATGCTGAGGTGGCAATTCAGCCATTTGATTCATATTACAGCAGCTCATGAGTGAATGAACATGGTGCAATAAAGTACTGTTGGAAGTACATTTTTCCAAAAACTTACATTTACTTAAATTTGCTTGAGTACTGTTAGCAGTTGCCACTTTAGCATGTGTAGCATTGTGTAGGTGTCAAAGAAGAGGAATCTGTTGAGAAATTCATGTCAACTATCACAAATGTTTTTTATTATATTTTTAATAAAACGCTATTACACTCCTTCAAAGTTGTTAAATGTGAACAGACTTTTCCTTTATTTTTTGTGGAATATTACAGCAGATATAGATGAAACTTGTCTCAGAGGGACAGTAGGTGGCCCAGAGGAGGAATGTGTTGAAAGTTTGATGTCAACTATCAAGTATGATTTTTAATGAATTTTTCCTGTGATGCAACCAGGCTGTCCCAATGCAATGTGTGCGCGCGTGTAAGTGTGCTCGGGTCTGCGATCGGTAAAGGAGAAAAGGCGCTGCCGTAAAGGCTAGTGTAGAAGCGCAAGAAATGTTATGCGGCGGCTAAGAGGCGGCTGAACTTTGGAAGTCGTTGGTGTAGAGTTTTCAAAGTACTTGTAGAAAAAGCTCCTGGAAGCGCTCACAAAAGTCACATTCGATTGTTGACTTCTGTTTTTATACCTGCCGCTCAACACGTCATCCTCATCACCTTGACTCCCAGTGTCACCCAAGCAAAGTGGAGTGATAAACATGTCGGCTTTATTTATTCAGAATAAGTTTCCCGTAAAAATTATTTCTCATTTAGTTTCACAGTTTCGATTCAAACGTTTTTTTTTTAAAAACGTATTGTTGTAATATTTTATATATATATTTGTATTTTTAATCATTAATTCATCGCTTTATAAACAAGAAGTATCAATAACTGAAAATCGTAACGAAAACTCATCACGTTAATTAAGTCTGATTATTTCTTTCGTTAAAACAAATTGCGTTAGTCGATCACTTTTTAAAAAATATTTAAAGAAAATATCATCTTCATGCAGAAAACGAATAAAAAATGAATATATACAATAAAGTTGTCGTACTGTAAAATATTGTCGCAGCATTTAACTGCACCTTTGATAAAGACGTTTCGCCCTTTTTCCGTTGTAGTTCAGAGTGAAATTTAGCTGCATGTGTTACAAACGCTTGTGTATAGTGATTTATGCGCAACTTTTGAGGATTCTGACCACACCTTAAACTATTTTACAAACGCGAATTTCAAACTTCGCGGTCCTAGCCTGTTTGGTGCCACTCCCTCTGGAGGGTGGTTAGGGTGGTGTCTGAGAGGCAGATGTTGTCCAAGATAAGGACAATCATGGATAATACCCCCCACCCACTCCATGACCTACTGGCTAGCCACAGGAGCATGTTCAGTGAGAGACTGAGATTACCAAAAAGCACCACTGAACAACACAGGAAATCTGTGGCTTGTGGCCATCTCCCTGGACAACTCCTCCATCTAATGCACTGTAAACATTGCAATAGTTACACCCTACTCTGTAATATTCTTGTCAATTTTCTTGATATTTATTTATAATCGCCTCTGTTAATCCTTGATATTTATAACTGAGTGATCTGTATATATTAGTGCTATTTCTTAAATGTGTAAAATCTGTAACATAATGTATTGTTTGGAGTTTAGTCTGTTACTGTTACTATTTTTACAATTTCGTCTTGGAGCAACTGTAACCCACATAATTTCCTTAGGGATTAATAAAGTATTCTGATTCTGATTGTTTCAGGATGACCTGCCATTATCCAATGACACGTCCGCTTACCTGTATCTTTTTCTTGTTTCTCATCCTCTTGTTTTCTCCTTTTTCTAAACTGAGCACCTGATGGCTTTGAACTTTTCTTGTCCATCTTCCATTGGTTTTAATTTTGCGCTCCAGTATGAACACCCATCCCCCAACCCGAGGATCACCACAAGATAACCTAATAGACCTACACCTTAGTTCACAGATTTGCTTTGTCTAAGGTTTATTTCTGGGATTTCAAACAAACCAGGATTCAAATCATGAATACATAATGGGCTTGGATTTACAGCGTTATGAATGAAATGCTCTATTTGGCAGCAGCCGGCCCCCCTGCCCTGTCGACAGGTTGTGTGCGAGACTTTAAATCATCAAACTGTAAATTATAAATTTAAAATTGTTATTGATCCCTACCCCGAGTCCTAAAGTCTATTTTCTTACTCTTCTTATATTTATTGTTTGTTTTCTTGCACTGCTGTAACTGGAGCCTCGTCGTCTCGTCTCTCTATATACTGGACTGTATGTAGCGGAGATGACAATAAAGTTTACTTTGACTTCAGCAAGCAGTCGCAACGAGGGCTCTCGCGCTCACTTTTCGCGTAGAATTTCGAAAAAACATCGGTGCAAATTATAAGTCTGTATCATAATGTTTGGTGTTTTCGTGTTTGTTGTTTTGTTTTTATTTTGTTTTATTTTGTGAGCTGGTTATTAGATGCTGCTCCAGCCAGCCAGTGAATCCCCCGCCGCCCCACCCTCTCCTCCCTGTGCCGCAAGCAGCAGGCGCACCTCGCAAACGGAGGGCGCCCTTACTCCCCGCAAATGGGCGATAGAAAACCGATTGGTTTCTATTGGTTTGCCATCCCTAAAATGCGCTGGCAGGATGTCGGGGCAGCATAAGTATGAGCACCTTTTTTGCCGATGCCCATGATGCCGCCCTGGGCAACCGTGTAAAAACCGCTACTGGTTACGATTTTACAATAACCTATATAGGTTAGTATTTAAACTAAATAAGATGCTGCGTTTATTGAAAATTTCTTTCAGCAAACGTTGTAAAGTAAAATGAAAGCCAAATAAAACGGGCAAATTAAAGTAACTGTAGCCTACAGCGTCTTTTATCCAGTATAGCATCATAAAATCAGACAGATGTGACATTAACCAAAAACACCTAAATGTACCAGAATAACGGGAATAATTGATTCGATTAAATTGCCTGTATTTTTATAGCGCTGTACTTAATCCTTATGGTATGGAGGACCACAAGAGCCACGCATCGAAATAAAGAATTCTGTGCTTAAATAATGAATTGTAGAATAAATTCTGCATTTGTAAATTCATTTTTGAATTCCAATTTAATAAACTGCATTTCAAAATCATTTTTCCAATTGCATTTCAAAATATATTTTTTAATTCCAATTTAATAATCTGCATTTCAAAACCCTTTTTCCATTTGCACTTTAATAAACTGCATTTCAAAATCCATTTCTTTTTCCTGTTCGCTCCGGGATTAGCTGCTGGATTACCTTTTCAATTAACAACTTCCTTGCGGCTATTCAAATTAGCCACACCATGGGATGTAAGGAGCTCTCTGATTGGTTGGACAGATACAGGCTGTCTGCCTGGATTTTTCTAGCTCATAGCTTCGCCCTGCTAAGAAGTATGTGTGCTTGTACAAAGGCCGTTCAGCCTCAGGATGACCACTCGGCTCGACACGGATATGTGAAGAATGAAGGGACCCTGCAGCGCAACGGAGAGCCCAACCTCTGACTGATGTGGTGTATTCATAGTTGTCTCTGGTACATTTGTTGTATGGGCAGTATGTGTTCATTGTTTGATTGTGTAATTACGTGTTACGCACTGGCAATGCATGCCGGTAGAGGGTAATACAGGAAGTAAAAGAGATGGTCTTACCGCACACAGTGGTCCCGCGTACTTATTCAGATTCAGAGTAAGAATCACACAGGTGTTCACAACTCCCTCTGTGCAGGCGGGGTCAGGACCCTCCTCACCCTGGGTGAAGAGGGGTGGTGCTGTGGCCAGTCAGGTATGAAGTGCTGAGAGTGGATCTTTGGTCCTCTGTGCAGCTCTGTCCACTCTCAGCTGCCCTGCAAAGCAATAACACGAGAAAGACGTCATTTTAACACAAAACAGCATTTCCATTGTTGGTAGCTGCAGCATGTTGTTAAAATGCTATTTTACACTCAACATATACACACAATAACTATAAATAAACTTAAACCTACAGTACTGTAGGACGATGATTTACACCAGCTATTGGAAGGATTTAGTCTTCAAGACAGTTTGTAGCCAATGTGAGGTGATAACTTACATAGCTGGAACACAGCACCACTCTCCAGTTTGTCATTTGGTCATCCATCCTTCTCATCGGGTTGGGGTAAGGCTGTCTTCTGGGTGGAGCATCTCTCTGTGTTAGCGCCGTCTAGAATGCTGGGAGAGGACAAGTGTAAAGCACCTGAAGACAAAAAGACAAAGACAAAAGGATGAATTCACAGATCACTGATTTGTTCGATTTACTTTTCTTCTGTTATGTGTTTTTACCTTACCTCTGATCCCTTAGCCACAGGCTATACCTTATGTATAAACAAGAGACTACAGTCAGTTCACGACATCATTTTTGAACCTTTTCTACTCATTTGTGTTGACATTAAGTACGGACTTACCTTTGTCCTGCATGGTGAGCTAGCGCTTGAGAAAAAATATGTAAGTCATTTAAACAGTTACCTGTGATATTAACAAAAATAGAAGTAACAACACCTAAAACACTACCTTACAGTCGCACAGGCAATGTCACATATTAAGAAAAAAACAATACATTTCACATGTGTTAGTTAATATTCTTTAAAAGTCAGATATTCTTAGTTAGCTGTGTTACAAACATCACAAGACACAAAGGCTTAACTTAAACATTACAAAGTTATTTAAAAAGTAAAGGATATTTACAAGAAGCTGTCCTCAAAGCAAGAAAGTGTCTTATAAACACTGCAAGACGCAAAGGCCAACTTAAACGTTTAACGTTTAAAAACAGGTTCTAACATTACTTATTCAGAGTCACTGTCATCAAGTGAAAGGTTAAAAGGCCTTTCCCAGAAGCGTCTGACACCAAAAGAACCTGATGATGTAGAAGGGTTACAGAACGTGTCATCACTTACCTTGCACCTCTTCAGTGCAGATGTCTTCTCTGCTTCTCTTTGCTGAGGAGGTGAGAACTGAGGTTGAAGGAGAAGCTTCGTGAGAAGAGGGGGAGGATGAGAGAAGGATATACTCGCCATAACTGACACTCTGGGTATCAGTGTCTTGTTCTTCATCAGAAGAGATGGTGCTCGGGAGACTGTCATCCAGGATCCTGATGACTTCAGGAAGGCCTTCTTCTGCAGGATGTTCAACCACGTAGTCAAGACGACATGTGAGGAAACAAGTTTAAAATAACATTAGGAATGTAATAAACACCAAGTGCTAAAGGAACAGAGCTACATCTGTTAGTTTCAGCAGATGATGAGAGAAAAGCATTTTAGGTACATTTATGTCAGACTGAATGACACAAGTTTGACTTCATTTGACCTTGAAGGAGAGGTCAGAGGTCAGATGTAATGGGATATTTTAAATCTTTACACAGTACCTTTATATATTGACCACAGACTCCACACTTTTAAGAATCATAGCTTCTAAATTATAAAGGTTTTTGTTCATTTTTGACCAATAATAAAGTTAACCTTGAAGAAGATGTAAGCTAAATTTACATAACCCCACTCTACACCCCTACAAAGTTTGATCAGGGTTAATTCAATTTTTTTCAGCTATGATGTTTACAAAAAAATAACAGGCAAGCAAAAGTTACTAAAAACATAACCTCCTTGGCAGAAGTAAAAATTGCAAACACACAAAGCTGTGCAGGTATGTCTCAAAACCATGGTCAAGCAAAAAACAAACAAATAAAAACTCTTAACACAAAATCTGCATTATTAGGAATGTGCACAAGGACTGTATCTGCCATAAGGACAGATACATGAAATCTTTTTACCACATGCTATCCCTGTGTAATACAATATATCTGTCTGCTATAAAATAAGATATATTATAAAGTATTACCATAACATAAGATAGGTCTTAATACCATTATTACTACTATACTATGATTACTGTTTTCATATTCTTTTTTATATTCTTTTATTTTTATTATTTTTTATCATCACGTTTTGTAGCAGGGAAAAAGTTATAGTTTATTTCAATAAAGCCTTTGATCCGGAGAAGAACAGGATGTTAGGAGAAGACCGGGATCTGGTGTGTTTACACCTGTGTGTTCTGACGTCATGACATCCTGAAGATGCTGTTACCACAGAGACTGATTTTGGGGCATTTTACAAATTTTTGTCCATTAAGCTATTTTTAACCATTTCATTAAAAAAGTGTCAAATTTGAAGCCTTCAAATCAAACTAACAACTTTTTTTCAAATTCATACACCAGTCGTTAATAATTTATACACCTCTCCCAGAAAATTTAAAGCATACAAACAATTTATGGGGAAAAATCTTGGAATACACATATTTTGATAACATTAAAACGTGACATTCACACTCGAACTTATAAATTATTACAGTCATTTAGTGACTCTTAAAATAACTGAAGAAATGTTAAAAGTACCTGCAGCGAAGTCCAGGGGACTGTCTAGGAGTCGGGGTCCACGACAAGCCATTTTCAGGCTTTGCTGTTGAGATGAAAAACGAGTACAAACAATCCAAAGATGAAGTACTTGTTGTGGCTTGCAAGTAAACTCCGCTTTCAGAAAAATATTTTCCAAAACTTAGCTTTCCACCGGCTGAGGTTGGAGCAAGTCAAAACAAGTCCAATAGCAAGTGTAAAGGGACGAATGGAACATTGTGCAGCATTTATATACCCTCTGCAGGCCATGGTTACAACTATATAAATGGAGCTCACCGCAATGTCATTTACAGTTAATTCATGATCATTTATACTTACTGCCTTTGTCAGCCTTTATGTAACATGTATACTAAACACATAGGTATAGGTATACCAGGAAATAAACACAGATATTAGAAAGCAGCAAATCACTCAAGCAAACATCTGGTGACTAACATTAGCATATAGCTCATGCTAATATTACGTCTTCATATTTTTCTTTTCAAACGCACTAACTCAGGCTCCTTCCCCACCAGAGAGGTGACATTCCATGTCCCTATTGCCAGTCTTGGCAGCCGGGGGTCAGTCCGCCAGGGCCTCCGCTCCTGGCCGCCACCCGGCTACAAGCAACCCCTATGCGCCTGGTGTGCCTGCATGGCCCGTCCCTCGGCCCGGACCCATGGACTAAGGCCCGGCCACCAGACGCTCGCCCTCGGGCACCCTCCCCGGGCCTGGCTCCAGGGCGGGGCCCCGGTAACCCTATCCCGGGCAGGGTAAACTGTTCCCTCGATGTTCTTTTCATAAGGGTCTTCTGAATCGCTCTTTGTCTGGTCCCTCACCCAGGACCAATTTGCCATGGGAGACCCTACCAGGGGGCAAAAGCCCCCAGACAACATAGCCCCTGGGATCCCTGGGACACACAAACCCCTCCACCACGATAAGGTAGCGATTCAAGGAGGAGAATCAATGTTACTTCCGTAACATTGATTCATTAATGTTGAATTCTCTCGCAGCTGTTCTATTCCCATGTTGTTGCAGTATATTAATAACTAACCTGTATTGTGGATGAATAATCTCAGTTGTTCTCCTGACTGAAGTTTGGCCCGTGTATAGCATCCTGCTATGCGATTGCATTTGTCCCTGACCACCAGAATCCCTCACGTTAACTTTTATCGAGTGGAAAAAATTGCGTTCATCTAGTTAGTGCTAATGTTATGCTAACATAGCTGTGTCGCTAGCAATCACGTAGCACAACATTATATACCAGGTAGTCCAACTTCAGTAACCCTGCAAACGCCACTGCTGTTTAGTTTTCTGTCTTTCATGTTTTGGACCCAGATTACTCGCGAAGCTCTCACTATGGCAGCCGTAATGCTCTGACAATCAACCAAAACATTTTTTAACAGATTTCTGCACGCCAAAATCGGTTCGAGGTCAGTAAGCACAACCAGAATTCATACATAAGGCACACTCTGATTTTTGAGAAAATGAAAGGATTTTAAGTGTGCCTTATAGTGTGGAAAATACGTTATACAGAAGAAAAGAATATATCGTCGATATATATCGTTACCGCACATGCTTCAAATTATATCGCATATGATTTTAGGCCATATCGCCCAGCCCTAATTGTATTAATAATTCAATTTCATTATCTGTGTCTTTGCCACACAGGTGTAGATACTGTAGGTTCAGTGAATGCTTAAATTGCACTGATTAGAATATACTGGACATTCAAAGCTAAGATTCAGCGCACTGTGTTAGAGGCTGGGATTTGATGAATTCATCATATATACAACCTTTGATCATCGTTTATGTCCAGTTGAGAATGAATCTGTGCACTCACATATTAAATGAACTGAAATCAGTAGTGTGATCTCCAGTCTTGATATAAGGAATGAGAGAACTGACAGCTGTTATTTTAATCAGCCTGTCTCAGTTGTTTTAACTCTAAGTATCATAAAGTAATGTGGTAACATCTGGACTGACGAGTTTACTGTCAGCATTTTAATCGCTAGTTTAAAGGCTGTAGGCTGCAGCCTTGCTCTAACACTGTATAAATGTAACAGGCTCAGTGCTGGTTCTAATAGTCTGAGCTGCTTCCAGCTTTATTTGTGAAGAGCACAGCAGCTTACAAAACACGTAGCTAGCTCGTACAGCTGCGACCTTAAAATAACGGGGCTACATAAGGTGATGCTAGCGTTAGCCATGTTAGCACGTTACCTTCAACAGGTGGTCAGACTTCAATAACAGGCACTCATTGTGTGATTCTTACTCTGAATCTGAATAAGTACGCGGGACCACTGTGTGCGGTAAGACCATCTCTTTTACTTCCTGTATTACCCTCTACCGGCATGCATTGCCAGTGCGTAACACGTAATTACACAATCAAACAATGAACACATACTGCCCATACAACAAATGTACCAGAGACAATTATGAATACACCACATCTCCCCTTTTAAACAAAAACAGAATATTACTTTTCTCAGGACAGAACTTCCAACCAGACTACCTCTTGATTCTTTTTTTTTCTTTTTCAAAGCCATACAAGAACATCTGGCAAACAATCTGCATTACATTTTTAACCTTTTGTTTTTCTTTTCTTTTCTTTTTTGAACAACTCTTTTTAGATTTATTTTACTGTGCTCTACAAAACCATTATAACACAGTTATATAACAACAACTTTTTTTTTCTCTTACAGATCTAACTTTTTAGGTTTAACTATTGGCCTCCCTGACTTGGTTCTGACCACATCAGTGTTAACAGGTGTAGCAGGGATCACACTGGGTGTTTGAGGCTTCTGCAACACAGGCACATTAGCAGGTTCATGCACAGGTGAACTTAAAGGAATCAAATGCACACGATTACGCCTCACAGTCCCTTGTGGTAACTCCACTGTGTATGATCGGGGTGTAGAGTGATTTTGGATAACAGTGCCTGTAGTTTTGACATCAGTCACCCAAACTTGCTCTCCTGGGGACAGGCTGCATAAAGGTTTTGCGCGGTGGCGCCTGTTGAAGTTTGCCATGTCCATCATCCTCTTCTCCCTTTCCTTTTGAGCGAGCAGTGCGTTGTCCGGCAGTGTGGGCTCCAGCTGCGATGGAAGCATCGGCAGTGTGGTTCGCAGACGTCTGCCCATTAAAAGCTCTGCAGGGCTGTATCCGGACTGCAGTGGTGTAGCTCTATAGGCAAGAAGAGCTAGATAAGGATCAGCTGCTTTTTTCAGAAGATTTTTTACAGTCTGCACAGCACGTTCTGCTTCTCCATTACTTTGCGGAAACTTGGGACTGCTTGTGATGTGTTTGAAGCCGTATGCTGCTGCAAAGTCTGTAAAGATTTGACCTGAATACTGTGGCCCATTATCAGACATGAGGACCTCTGGGATGCCGTGACGGGCAAAGAAAGATTTCAGGTGAGTAATGACATCGTTTGATTTTGTCCTGTTTAACAAAGCAATCTCAACAAATCTAGAGTGATAGTCAACAGCGAGAAGGTAAGTTTTCCCTCCCAGCTCGAAAAGATCTGTGCCCACTCTCTGCCATGGGCGGGCAGGGTATTCTGTTGGCATGAGTGGCTCACTGTTATTGTGTCTTTCTTGAATACACGTTTTGCACTTGAGCACCATCTCAGAGATTTGTTGACTCAGCCCGGGCCACCACACTGTTTGGCGTGCACGAGCTTTACATTTTACAACACCTTGGTGTCCTTCGTGTAGTTTTTCCAGCACCTCGTTTCTCATTGCTGAAGGAATGACAAGCCGTGTGTCTTTTAACAAAAGGCCGTCTTCAACAGTGAGCGTGGCTCGGTCAGGCCAGTAATTTCGCAGTAAAGGCTCTTGTTTTGCATGTTCTGGCCAGCCTTCGGTGCACATGTCCATGACGCGAGCACACACACTGTCGCTTTTCAGTTGTTCCTTCAGTGTTTGCATATAAGATGAACTGACAGGCATGTTTGCTACAATACTGTCGACATATATGTCTGTGCTTTCCATTAGCTCTTTGTCTGACAGGTTCATTGGTTTTTTCAGAGGTGAGCGGGACAAAGTATCTGCTGTCCAGAGCGATTTCCCTGGGGCGTACTGCACAGTGTACGAGTAACGCATGAGTCTCATTCTGAATCGCTGGATCCTGGGTGGCAAGAGATCCAGAGCTTGTCCTCCCAGTAAGGAAACGAGAGGTTTGTGGTCCGTTTCAAGACAAAAATGTTTACCAATCAGGAAATCACGAAAACGCTCACACGCCCATGTAGATGCCAGTGCCTCTTTTTCCACTTGTGCGTATC